CACCGCCCGCCGACACGCCCACGCAGGACCGGGTCGCGGGTGCGGGCCAGCGCGCCGCCAGCGCGCAACTTGCCCGCACTCGCGACTCGGCCCGGTTTGCCCCTCAAAGTACCCGCCCCCCTTTCACCCCCGGCAATTCTCTCGAGTTTGGCCCCCCTTCTCCCTTTCCCAGATCAGCGCAAGAGCGCTGCGCTTGCCGCCGCGATTTCCAAACGTTTGAAAGAAACGCGCAGGAAAATCCTTCCCGAACGGAGGCAGGTCCGTCCTCTTGGAAATGATTCCCAAGGAAATGTGTTTCCTTCCCGGATAAATGAGCCTGGGAGAGTCTGGAAGAAAATTAGTCTATGCTCATGCACGCAACATACGTATTTATGTGAGCCCTGAGTTATTCTGGGCCCAGGACACCTTGGATCCTGCAATAGCAGCGACTAATTAATTAATCGTATTTTGTTGGCAATGTAATTTTATAGATTTTTACCGTGTTCTCCAGCCCGGCGGAGAAATTCACACCAATTTCATCTTAAAAACTAGTTTGCAATTTCGAAAACCTTTGACAACCGAATTGCCCCATTTGTTTTAGAATACAATCTAAATACAATACAATATGCAGCTATATTCGCTGCAGTATTTTATGGACAAATTTATCAAAGCACCTTTTGCGCTTTTTTTCTCCCCTCTAACATCCACATTTGTCCCGACCTGGCTCTTAAAAAAAAACCCACCAAAACCCAAAAAACCCGTTTATTTAATTTTAGTTTTCATACGCGTAAACCAGTCACTGCCGTTTTGAGCAGGCTCCCGGCTCGGCCGATTGCAGGTTTGCTTTGGTTTTGTTTCAAAAATTATTATTATTATTTTTTTTCTTTTTCGAATAGCTTCCCAAATTCTGAAGGTTTTCGGGGAACCGCCAGCAAGGCAAACTATTTTTCTTTCGCCAGGTATGAAGAAGTAGCTTCTGTGTGAATATTGAAACCACCTGCGAGCGAGCGCGAACGCGTTCCTTAGGCAGAACCCTGCCCGCGGGGAAAGGTGAGGTCGGTTCCCCAGGAGCAGCCGAGGCACCGCTTTGCTTTGGGTTTTTATTAACGAGACGAAACCGAAAAAAATAAAAGACGGGGCTGGCTCGCCAAGATGCGTCCGAAAACCGAAGGCGGCGAAAGAAAGGGTTGATGAGGTTTGAACTTTTCCTGCTTAGACAGCGGAAAGCCCCTTTTCCTTGCATCCCCCCCTCCTCCTTCATTCCCCCCCCTCCCCTTCAGCGCAGCTTGACCCGAGCGCCAGCCCCTTTGCTCTCAAACCGGATCAAACGACTCCGGTTTCACCGGCGTTTCCACCGCCGGGAAGAGCCGTGCCATCAGCCCGCCCCAAGGAAAGGCAACGAAGTCTGCTCTGCCCGCTGCATCCCCGCTGCCTGCAATTATTACCCTAATTGCTATCGGTACGCAAATCGTCGTTGTACCACCCCGGGGCTGCTCGCCGGGCAATCAGGGAAAGAAAAAAAACAACAAAAAAACAATCAAAAAACACCAACAACAAAAAAACCCCACAAAAATAGGGGGTTTTTTTCTTTTTTTTTTT